CCACATGCATCCGAGGGCACTGAAAATCCACCAAAAAGATGGGCAGAATTTGACTAGGATTGCCTCCAATGCTTGGCACTTTTATAGAGGCTGAAGCTATTTCCCAGTTTGACTTACGGGCATTTATGAGTGTCAGAGTCCAGAAGGACTCTTGTCCTAAGATTGGGCTTGTTACCGTGTAGCATTTTGATGATCTTTTTGTGTATTCTTGGACCTTGTTTTCGAGACGTGGACATCAAGGCCTGGAGAGCTCACCTGTCCATGGGTCTGGGCTGGGAGTTCTCCCCCCTCTCTGCCCAGTGCTGCCCGAGGAGGGAGAGTGGGCAGGGAGGCCTGCACATCCCTATTCTGAGCGATTATTAACTATTGATCTCAGACAGGTGATTCTAGTTCATGCTATGGAAGGTGTGGATTACACAGAAAGGGGAATGAGGACATGTTCGTGGGTCCTTAAAAAAATCTTCCTTATCAACATTGAGTTGTCTTGCTTATCATAAATATCTCTTCTGTGGAGCAAACAGGGCCAGGTGGCCCATTCCAACCTATTCTGCCCCTGGCTGAGCACAAACTCCCTCTTCTCTGTCACCTTCCAAAAGTCGAATAAAAGGAGCTTCCTCCCTTAGAGGCTAGGCCTTTGGGCCTGGCAGTCCCCCACTCTGATTGCTCCAGGGATGTCCCATTTTCTCTCCTGTCCACAGAGGGTTGAATATGCCAAATAGCTATTCATGGAGACCCTAGCAAAGATACTCCCAAATACTTCAGTGTAGGGTGGATCAGACTAGACACATATGTGGCCCCATAAGGCAGAATGTATGCTGGACCAGGAGCAGGGGGTGTGAGCAGGTTGTGGATATAGCCTAGATATAGTCTGGCTATAGCATAGCTGAGGAAAGATGGGTCCCCATTAGACACAGAGACTAGTGGAGAGTCAGGCTCCATCGGTTAGTAGACTCTAGCTTACCAGCCCCTGACACTCAGGGCTGATGGTTCTGCTGACCAGCATACTCTGCTCCTACCCTCTCTCTTAAGCTCTCTTTTTGATAGCAGAAATGAGTCACATATTTTTGTCTGTTTGTGTGTTGGTTGGTTTTTCATCCCTCTTCCTTCTGACCAAAATGTCATTCATTCCCACCCACCCATCTGCCTTACTAGGTCATTTGGTCTTTAACTGGTTCCTGTCTCTTCATTTCTTTTCTCTAGCTGATGATACATATATTGGTTATTTATGAATCTGTACTCTGAAATTTCTTCTTTAGAGAGCTTCATGGTTCTAAACTGAACATAGATGTTATACTGCTCAATACAGAAGGGTGGAGTCGGATGCATTTAGAGAACCTAGGAGATGAAAGGGAAAACTTGGAACCCAGGGGCATGGTCTTGGAAAGGAGAAGTCTCCCCTCATCCCCCGTTCACCCTTGGAGGGGAATTCTGAAAATGAGATTCAAGGGCTCTGTGGCACGATACGAGGGGCTCTTTGCTATTGAAGTATACCTGCAACATCCTACAGCCAAGAGAGCAGTGCAAGGAGGCCCTGGGGTGAATGGTCCCTCACACAGAAAGCTGAGTGGAGACAATTGTTACTCTACTTTCCAGGCTTCTTACTGACCCCAGTAGGTGGATGTACTCTTCTTCCTGAGGAGTAAACTAACTTAGATTCCATCTTTTCTCGGATTCAGACATAATCATAACTATTTAAAAGAATATTTATTCCCCTTAGTCCAAGAGTCCACTCTAGCCTTTCGATTTGTCGTAGGTGGTAATGTGTGTGAGGTGGGGGTGGAGGAGGGTGTTGTATGTTTTAAATAAGCCATACTTTTAGAGAAATGGAAAAAATGGCAGGTGCAATTTCAATTAAATTTTTGTTGCTTTTGGAATATATCAATAGCAAATATTTGTTCTTTGTCAGCAGTGGGCTGTATGCTGTACAAAAAGGGGGTCAGGCAAGGTACAAATCGGCAAAGAATAATTAAAGACACAATGGGGCTGACTTTTAGTAAGCATTTTCCATTGGCCAGGCATGCAAAGGACATTATATACATAATCCTAGAAACCCCGTGAGTTAAGTATGATCACGCCCAGAGAGGTTATGAACTTGCCCAGCTTGCCCAATGTCACACAGCTAGTAATTGGTAGGACCCTGGATCTGATCTCAGGTCTGTCTGACTCCAAAGCCCTCACCAAACTCCTCTTGCACAAACTTGGTACCAAGCAAGAGAGGTTCCGGTATTTCCAAGGGTGTCAAAGCAGCAGGAAAGCCCCTCAAAGTGTTAGTCAGAACTCGTCGCCAGAAACCAGATAGTGTTAAGACTGTAGTATTTTATAAGTTATTTAAGAATGTAGTTTTCAAGTGTCCAGGTTGCCTCAGAGGCCAGCACATCTATCGGCTTCTGCTCAAGTCGTGATTATTTGCCATCGATACTATTTGGAGATGTTTCCATTCTGTCATTTTGCTGTACTCAGATTTAGAAAAACACAAGTCAGTAAGATGGTGTGATTAGCAACTCCCCGAGTTCAGTTGCTTGTACCTTCAGTGATATGGGTTTCGGAGGCATAATGAAATGGAGAGGATTATTAGCAAAACCACTTAGGAGCTTATTCTCTTGCCGTTGGGGAGTGAAAATGTTTTCTTTTCCATCTACTCTTCCATTGGGAGTGGATCTGAGAGTGGTTATCCTTTGAGGTGCATGTGTAGAGTAGTATGGTTTTAGACTGTGAAGGGAATCATTTTAGTAGTTATGTGCAATAAAACCATATCTCAGTACAAGTTTCCACTATAGGACCCATGAAATAATAAAAGTGAGAAACAGTGGTCTGAATATTTTAGCAAGTGCCTTATCTTTTAACATACAAGTTTCTAAAGAAGACATGCAGTGCCTTTACATCTTTATTTTTTCCTCTGTATATGATGACATGCTTTGCAAGGTAGGTATTCAATAAATTTTTATCTTATTACACTTAGTATATCATTAGAGCGCTATTTATTATCACCAAGCCATCTTTTGGAAGAACCCCTTTAAAAATAGAACTTACATATTTAGATCTCTCAGAAGTTCCTCATTGTTCTTTTTACTGGGACAGACAGATTTCACTGGTAGGTAAAGCACATGGTATTTTCAGACCAATGTCAGGATCTTATTGGTCTTGCTTAAATGATTGCTATCTTTTCTTACTGAGAATTTTACACAAATTATTTTAATTACATGAAACTTAGAACCCACATTGGTAGAAATGATCAAGTACTAAAGTGTATCCTGATGTAGAAAATTGTGATGGAGTGTTTTAGGCAATATACTAACTCACTCATCTATACAGCATCATTTCATTCTGAAGGAAATAATGACAACAGTGGCTTCTATTTATTGAATATTACTCTGTGACAGACACTATATTAAGTACCTTACATGGATTATCTCATTTAATTCTCAAAACAATTCTATAAGATAGATGTTTTTTTACCTATGAATAAACAGAGCTCCAAGGTTTAAGTACCTTTTCCAAGATTCACAGGGCCAGAGTCGGCATTTGAACCCAGTTTTAATGAACTCCAAAGCCCATATCCTATATTATAAAGATACAAATGATCACAATCCCTAATTCATGCTCCCGAATATGAATATTTGTTTCTTATAAGAGCAGACTGTTATTTGACCATTTCCAGCCATTTTAATTGAAGACATATCATATGTGGTTCTTACTGGTCCAAATGAAAAGTAGCAACATAAAAGAGTATGAGCGATAGGATTAGCAAGTTCTCAGTGGGATGCTGCAATAGCTGAGCTTCGCCGTAAAGTAGTGGAGACCCATGAGCCTAGCTGACACACAAAGACCTTGGGGAGCTTGTCTTTGCTAATAGAGGCCTTCGTTTCTTCACTTGACCTTGCCATCATGCTCCCGTCTCAGCCCTCAATTAAGCTGCCATCGGCATAGGATTTATAACGTGTCACTGGCCATTCAAGAGACAGCAGCAGAGGTGTGGCTGAAAAGCTGAACAATAAAGAATGGAATTGATTTTCATTTCTGTTCAAATCAGGAAGATAACAAAACCGTAACTGACCCCGGGACAGAACAAGACAGCCCAGCTAGGTGCAAATTTCAGAGACTAAATGCCTAGTAACCTTTGCAGAAGGTCCATTTTCTCTGACAGACCAAGATGCTCATGGTTTCTTTCTGTCCAAACCTTGGGAAACGATCAGTTATTGGTGACGTCGAACTTTTCCAGGAGAGAATCTGTATCTCATTTTTCCTGTTTGTTTCTAAAAAATATAGTAAATTTTATAAGTGAGAATTTTTAAGGAAAACAACAGGTTTTCTTTTTTTTTTTTTTTTTAACTGAACCAAGTGTAAAAATATAGCATGGCCATGGACCACATGAATGAGGTAATTTTAGAGTCTTTTCTAGGAATTTTGAATGTTATGAACTTTATTTTGCATGGGTAGGATGATATTAGTTTGTGTTTTAAATAAATAGTGAGACTGGACTTCTTTTGTTAGACTATAATTAATTCAAAAGAATAGTGTTCTTCCTTTAGGGATGAGTCTTATTTTAATTTCATAAATTTGGAAATAAAACTCTGACTTTTGATTTAACAAGGGAAGAAGCCACAGGTACCCTAATTTTAAATTATTGCTTTTATTCAGCACTAGTAACTAGGGTTGTGGACATAATCTTAAAAATGAAAGTTTAATAAAATGTGTACACTGGTGTATTAATCTTCTGGTTAGCCTTCTATCATTCAGTCCCAACTTCCTCAGCATTGAGGAAGAATTGATTATGGTTTATGCTCTGAAAGACAGCCCGTTTCCTGTGTTGTGAATGACCTGTGGCTTTGCCAGACATACTGGCCTGCAGATAAAACTGATGAAAGTCAGCAAGGGGGTTTTCCTACCTGTGTACTTATCAGTCTTCCCCCAAGCCACAGTCTGCCTTTTGAGAGCTCTAATAATTAATTTGGTCTTCTCTCTTCTCCCTTTTCCCCCACCTTCTCCCTGTCTGTTCACAGGTTATCTTGACGAATCAAATTACAACCCATCTGAGTGGAGCCCTAGCTTCTCAGGCAGACCTGGTGTCTCCAGCTGATGACTTGTCCCTGTCTGAAGGTAAGGGATCTGTCCTAGAGGGGCTGAAACTTGACACTGACCTCCAGCCCCACAACCTCTCTGCTCCTGGGAGAGCCCAGAGATCAGCTCGCAGGCCCTGGCCAGTGAACCCAGCCAGAGCCCAGCGATGTAGGCTGTGCCACCTCTCCTGGCATCTGATCCCTTATATTTGGAGAGTCTCTTGCTCTGTTACTGTAAGTGAGCTTCCTTTTCCACCCGAGTGAGTCATCTTAATGGATGGGCCTCCATCACCTCCACCTTGAGGCTGGTCACTCCTCTGTAGTTGCTTTGGGTCCTTGGTGTGAGGGCTGGTGACCTGCTAACTGACTGTTTTTTGAGACTGATGCTGAAAGGTTGGCTTTACCAGTGGTCCCGCAGCAATTTAGCCTTTTCTCATGCTGGGTACTTTTAGTCCTGGTAAAAGCAAACACCAATGTGATGTGCTGGGGATGTGGCATTCCCTGTCAGCTTTACAGAAAGATTAAGAGAAATGCTCCATGCTGGTAAATCTGCAAAATTTTCTCCACCTTCCCATGCTAGCAAAGGTCAGGCCAGCTACAGTTCACATAGCGAGGGGAATCACACCTCTGAGCCAGTGGGTGGTTTCTAGTTTTAGTCAAAGCTCTTACTTGACATTTCTGAGTTCTGCTAGTTGTACTCTTTCAGGGCAGAATGCTGTGGGCCTGTGTGTATGTGCGTAGCTGTCCCAGGCCCCTCTGCACTTTCCTTTTTCTGAGAATTATTCGTGATGGACTATGTGGGACTTCCAGGCCTCACAAGGCTCCCGACTGCCCAGGTGATCTCCATGGATTGGCCTCAGTTTATGGTCCCCAAATACAAGGACTATACCCCTGCTTCTCAGTGGTGTTTTTTAGAGTGAAAACTCATTATTTATTTAAAGCAGTAGTAAACTGTACTCGGTACCCTGCTTCCACATCAGTGATGTATTATCGCACCCCCATCACCTGGACTTAGAAGCCTGAATCATTTTATAACCCTCCCCCCTTATATTCTTTTCACCATCAAGTCCATGTAGTTGTTCCTTCCAAATATATCTCTCCCATTCCTTCTTTTTTTACAATTTGAATTGTGATCAGCTGACTCATTCAACTTATAATTGGGTTATTTTAATAAAATTCCAATATGTCTTTCCAACTGCAAACTGCCATTTCCATTCTGCCGCTACCAAGTGGAACTTACTGCTTGGGCTGTGTTTTCTTTGTCACTCTCCTACTGAGAAATCTGTGTTTTGAGAATGGGCTAAAATCAATATGCTGATTTTGAAGTATTCAGGACTTTGTGATTTGTCAGCTGAAAGTCGGCCAGAGTGGAAGTATTTACACCATGGAAATCAGCAACTGCTAAAAATCAGGTTATTTTTCTTTTCTTTTGCATGAATCTGTTTCCAAAACACCACGAGATAAAGTCAGTACTTCTTAACACTTCGCAGTCTGGTCTCTCCTTCCTGTTCAACTTGCACTGACATTTCCTTGGCTCCTGTGCCAAGTGTGTGAACTTACTGCTCACCGTTCCCTCCCCCCCACCACCCCTCCAACCCCCGGGCCTCTGCTGGGACAGCCCACCGATCTTGAACAGCATTTCCCTTTTTCACTTCTACCTCTGCTTCTCTTCCCAGATCCTCCCACTCCTTCGAGGGTTACAGACCACCTCTTCCACAAAACCTCCTCGTCTGTCCCAGTAGGCATGGCTCTCACTCTCTGTTCCTCCTCTGTGGTCCCTCTACCTGCTCCGCTATATAAAGAAAAGGTCTAGAAAATTTAATTTAACTTTTCATGGTTTCCCGACTAGATTGGCAGATATTTTAAGGACACAGACTATCTTGTATTCTTTTTGTCTCCATGCTGTGCCTGAGTGACTAGCAAAGTTCTAGGCACATTTAGGCAGTAAGTAAATGCTGAATGAATACCCCAGTTAATACTTTGTAAAAATAGTAACCATGAGAATCACATAAGGCACCTATGAGTATCATGAAAAATTGTTGTAATAATTTCACACGCCACAGACACACACCGCACACATTTATTCAGCTCTAAGGAAAAGAAAGTATCTTGTTTCTTTATTTGAAAACCAGTAAGTAAGAGTACTTTGCTTTGTCTTGGCTTCCTGGTTTATCTTAAACAAAGAAGAGTCGGTGAAACAGATAACAAAGGAAATTGCTTTGGGGCTCCAGTGTAACCGCTTCAAGAAAACAAGCAGTAACGTGGTATTTGTGGCAAAGGAAGGGTTACCAGCTCATTCTTAGACAACTTTTTCTTATTATGGAATCCGAGGGAGGATGGAAACAATTCATTTTTTTAGGTCTTTATAGGTCATTTTTTAGGTCTTTTACTTGCATAGCTGAGCAGGTGAAGAGGCTATGGAAATATTTTTTCCTGAAGTCTATACTGAAATTCCTTACCAGTGAATTAAAATGAATAGATTTCTTACAATATTTATACCTATTTAAATGCATTACAGTGTCCCTTAATGTTACTGTGATTCATATGGATAAATGGCTTTGTTGTTGTTTCAGCCATTCGTGGTTTCATTAGCTTGGTGATCTTGAGCAGGTCTTTTAATCACTTTGGCCTCAGTTTTTTTCTGTTAAATGACAAGTGAGATGAGTATAAGGTTGCCAGAAGTCTTTTCTAGCTCTAACATTGGACGATCATACTGTGGGTCTGAAGATCAGGAGCATTCACTAGGTGATGGGTATTGAAAAGCCTGATTTTTCAGACTAGGAAGAATGACCTTGTTGTCCTAGATTAGGCATCATAGGAAAGATCTTCAGAAATCTTAGCATTGATACCTTTGGCATGCCTACAGTAGCCTCCTCTCCCTATTGCTCTCTCTTTCTCTCTAAACTCTCTGGTCTTGTCTGTCTGTCGCTTGCTCTCTCTGCCTTTCTTCCACACAAACGTGTGCACAAGAGGTGTGTGCAAACCAGTGCAAGTGGGAAACACCCCGATTAGGGAGCTCAAGGCCCCCTCTGACCTTTAATGGATTTCAGCTGCAGAACAGAGGGAACTGCTTAAAAGGCACTCCTTTGCAAATAGTTGGTGAGAACCAGCGGCCACTGGGCAGCCAGCGATAAAATGATCCGAGGTGACCTGAGAGAAGTACCCAGCAGGGGCTGGTTCGGGAAATGAAGTCTCTTCTGCTCTGACACAGAACAGGGAATGCAAGTGACCTGGCCCAACTGAGAGATCTCTTCTATCCCAGTGATCCCTACTATTAATATCTGCCAGCTGCAGGCCCAGAGCATCCCCCTGCTGAGATCAAAAGGACCCCTATCTTGGCTGGAACAAGGTCATCTGCACAGGGCTGTAAACAGGCCGGCTGGCTCAGGGACCTCTGTAGGGGAGGAGAAGTCAGGAGAGGGGAGGTGCTCTCTCACGCTCCTTTAATCTCCCCGGACCAGCTGTTGCCTCCCAGTGTTTGTAAAGTTGAGAGTTCTTTGTTTTTGTGTTGCTTTTTCTCCCTTATTAAATGTGTGGCTAGGTTGTTGCTTGGATTATGTAGACCCATGTCCACTGCTTGGGCCCACTGTATGATTCTCTTCATTGAGGTTTCATTCCCCTGTTGAGTTATCCAGCTCCCAGGTGGGAGAGCCGCAGAGGGAGACGTGGACCCCAAAGGCCAAGGACTTTTCCCAATGTCACTCCTGCTGCATGGTATTGTGCCTGGAGAAGGATGAGAGGACAAGTTGAATTTTCTCTATTTAGTTAATAACTTCTATACGTACCGTGTGCTTATCAATTTTTAGCCTGCCTTTCACAAATGTTATTTCATTCAGTTGTGAGAATGGAACTTTCAAGACTTATGCAAATCGATCAAAATTATACTGTGAACCTAAGGGCAGAAATCAGGATTTTCGTTCTTATAATCTACATTGTTCTCAAGCTGGCACTGTGAGTGAAAGTATTTTCTTTCCAGTGTTTTGTTTCATTGACAGAAACTCAGGCATCTAGGTTGTTACAGAGGTCAGTGACTGGCTATTAACTAGGTTATCGTGATGGCTATTGATTAGGTTATTATGTTGGTAACTGACTAGGTTATCGTGACTGTTCTGGCCAAGGACATGTTTCTCAGATGCCCTTGCCAGTTCTTCCTGGTGGTCAGCGAAGATACTAAGAATGATTGGATCTTGGTCACAGGGAATGTCCCCTTTGAAAGGATCTAGCAGTCCAGCTGCCCTAAGACACCACATTTTATTCTGAAGTCACCTGAGAGTCACCTGAGATTGGACCAGAAGGACTGGCTGGACCCCTGTTCAACAAGCACAGTTGGTAGGTGAGATGGACATGCAGTGTAAGACTGAAGCTCTGCTCAGCATAGGCTGCGAGCTTTTCCCCTCTGATGATTTAATGAGATAGCATTACTTCAGTGTGGCTACTTCTGTGTGGCGACACAGCCCACTTCAGCAACCCCAGAGGCTTCGTGGAAAGGAAGCATCATCAGGCTGCCATCCTGGCATTCCCAGCATCTGGCATGTTAGTGTTCTTCTATCTGCAGTCATAGTTTTTGATAGATAATAGCACTTAAAAACTAAAAATGGCCCAGCTGGCATGGCTCAGTGGTTGAGCATCGACCTATAAACCAGGAGGTCATGGTTTAATTCCTGGTCAGGGCACATGCCCGGATTTCAGGCTCGATCCCCAGTGTGGGGTGTGCAGGAGGCAGCTGATCAATGATTTTCTCATCGTTGATGTTTCTATCTTTCTCTTCCTCTCCCTTCCTCTCTGAAATCAATAAAAATATGTTTAAAACAAAACAAAACCTAAAAATGAAAAGTGCATGGATGGGTCGAGGAAAAACACAAGAGAAAAGGCAGTACTTAATAGAACCAAGAGTGGTTTCTAATTTTTGTACAGGAAGCCTTTTTATTTCAGTTGAATTGATGACTTATTTCATGTGCAAGAGAAAGTATTTTAGGATTCATTCTCCCCAAGAAACCATCCTTGCAAAAAGCTGGAGTCCACTTGAAAGAGTATATGCAA